ATTAAGGAAAGAGTCTCTTCCAAGGTGGTACTTACTCCGCGAAGTAGCTTCGAAACCGACCTCGCGGGCAGGGGCGGGCTCGTGCGAGAGGAGCTTCAGCGGTAATTCAGCCGCTGCTTCGTGATCGTCTCAGCATCATCACGGGCCCGCATCGCCGCGTTACACGCGGAGACACAGGCACAGTTTAACTGATCGCTTCACGTGAGCGTGAGCGTGAAAACGCTTCATCGCGGCGGCGGCCTCCAGTCGCGAAAGTTACGTCACTGCGTCGAAAACCGTCGTCGCTTTGTTTCGCTTTCGCAGAGGCACCACTCGACACCCTCATCGTCGTCAACTCGCTCCAAGGAGGGGTCGAACGACACTCCTCTGGTCAACCCTCTCCTTCGTCCCCACCGTCCGGCTGCCTCCGACGTCTGCGTCTTCGCCGTGCGGTGATTGTCGTATATGATCGCAAGAATGCAAGGACTTGCAGCGGCGAGTCGCATCCCCCGAAGGATTCACGGAGACCCAGAACGGCGCGAGTAGATTTCTTCGTTCCTCGTTCGTTCTGCGCGATGAGAATAGAGACACACACACACAAACACACACACACACACACACACACATCCACACATCCACACGCACACATGCACGCAATTTCTCACTTTCTTTCTTTCTCTCCAGCGTATACAAGACTGTTGAGAACTCGCTCTTTCTCTCTCGCGACTGTCCGCAGGATAAACGCGAGCGCGTGCGGACGGACTGTGGCATCATTGAGCGTTCCAGGTACGAGTGACGGTCTTTTTTTTTTCTCGTCGAACCGGACGTTCCAAGCTACGGAGGATTCCGTCGTTCATGGCTGATAAGGAAGACCGGGTACCTATTCTCCGCGTGCGATTGGATAGCTTAATCTACGCGGGTTCTTCTCTCATATCGCGGGCAGGATAGCGCGGCGTCTTGGAAGCTATATAAGGGATATTCCTGATAAAGGGGCCGTATTTGTTCCAACCTTCGGAGGGTTGATCGCTTCTTGACGATACAATTCGCGCCTTTATGGAAGATGTAGAAGAATTTCGAGGCAACAATCTTCATTAGCGAACAAAAAGTCGATTAATCATGTACCGGAATACGGTGATGGATTGATTAGCTTCCGCTCTTAGGAACAGATTAATAGGACTGGCTTTTTCGCGTGTACACATGTCGAGAGACGAGAATTCCTTCAACGTCGTTAGCTCAGCTTCGATCGAAAATGTAGATTGTTGCCTTTATTTGCCTGTACAGTCGAGGACACGACACGTCGAGGTTTGTTAGGTGGAAGAACGTACCGCCAAGCGAGATCTTCACGTCGAAAGAAAAAACACAGAATAAGAAGGGAGAAAAATGTGAGAAGAAGAAGAAAGAGAAAAATAGAAGAGAGAAAACGACCATATTGGTAAAGCGGCGCAGGAAAAGAGGTGGGAAGAAAAATAGCGAGAAAAATAGCGCGTGTGAAAATGGTTGAGAGAGAGAGATGGGTGAAAAAGATACGGCGCGATGAAACGAATGCAAACCTAAATACGTTAAAAAGCGAACGTTTAAATTTGTCTTTTTTTTTATTAATGAGATTCTCGAGAAAAGATCGACTGACTCTCTCTTTCGGTTAGGGGCGGGGGTCGAGTACGATCTTACTCGGAAAATCCCGCTCGAAGATTTTCGGGCAAGTTGTCGTCTTGATTTACTTTCGAAATTTTTTTCGGAAGCGTCAGCGATGTGATCGATCGACAAGTTAGTTGGATTTAGGAAAGGACTGCGTGGCCGTTAGATTGCATCATGCGTTAACATGCCCCCGGGGCGTTAGGGGTTAAAAAGGGATTACAAGGCAGCGCTTTCTACTTTCTCTCGCGATCAGTTATATCGCATCGTTCCTCGCTCGGGTAGGAAATTAATAAGGCTGAGTTGCACCGACCGGTTTGAGTCAGCTAATCTTTTTTCCCCCCGAATTCTACATCCTGTACAAGGTGTTAAATGTGACAGAGAAAAGTCTGCACCAATTATTCCTGCAGGTTCCGATCAACATCAGTTTCTTTTTCGGAGAAAGTAAAAATCGTCTAAAGGAAAAATTATTTTAAAAAACGATTATTTTTAACATCAATAATAAAAATAACCGTCAGTCATGAAGTACCGATAAGTATTTTTTGTTTTAATTTCACGAATGCAAATAACACCTTGCACGGACAGAGAGAGGTAGGGTGGCTCGAACGAGATTAGCGCTGACCGACCTTGGCGCAATCGGCTTTTAAGAAGGCACAGTCGTTGAGTTAAGAACGTTAATACGCGGCTCCAGACACCGAAGACGAAGAGTTTTTCCCAAAGCCGTTCGTTCGCTTCGCTTTCGTCGGCCTCGGGGACGACGACCTCGACTCGAACGACCCCTCGTGCGTAGCGATCTTGCGGAGTGGGAGAAGAGAAGATGGAAAAGAATGAAAAGCAGCGGCGGCGAGGCGGTGCAGCGCGTCTACTCAGCGATCGGGGGGAAGTCCCGGGCGCGGGGTAGAGTTCCCCGAACTGCAGGTTGGCAGGTAGCTAAGTGGTTATCGAGTGCGTTGCTGCTGCTGCTGCTGCTTCTGTTGTTATTACAGCGCTCTACGGAGCACAAGCGCGGCGCCGGTTATTTTCACGCTTTTGTTCGTTCGTCTTTGCATCTTTTTTTATTTTCTTTCGTTTGGGTGTTTTTTTTTTAATTTTTATTTTCGGGTTGAGCTTGCCTCGCGCGCTCGATGGCGGCGGCGACGGAGTGTGGGATCACGCCTGTCGACGACCCACTCATTTTACTGGGCCCATTTGTCGACGACCACTTCATTTACTGCAACATAACACACACGAGAACGATTAACGAACGGCGGAGACCCAAGTGGCGAACTAAAAAAGAGAGGGGGGGAAAAAATGTTCGACGGCCGGCACTCCGCATCGGCATCTTCCTCTCGACTTCGCGGCGGTTCTGAAATGATCAGTCCTCGGATTAATCGGATTGACTCGGGGGG